TTGTGGGAAATGAGCAGATAAAAAGTTACCGATGGAGCGCGCGCCCTGAGCCGTGCATGGCAAGCAGGGGGGCGAGCGAACCATGGCGGCTTCTGGCCCCATCAGCGGCTACTTCGTGGACTCGCTGATCGCGGCCGACGGCGACTCCTCCTCGGAGCTGCTCGCCCCGCGCTTCGCCGGCCACGGCGGCGCCTCCGCTCGCCCCGGCGCGCTCCTCCCGGACTGCTCCGATTTCCCCTCGTGCAGCTTCGCCCCCAAACCCGCCGTGTTCGCCACCTCGTGGGCTCCGGTGGCCCCGCAGGGCTCGCTGGGCTACCCGCACCCGCACGCCGCGGGTCCGTACGCGCCGGGCGCGGCCGAGGCGCCCAGGTACGTGCGGGGCTGGCTGGAGCCGCTGGGCTCCTTCCCGCCCTTCGCCGCTCGCCCCTTCGCCATCAAGGACGCGCTGGGCCCGCGCAGGGGCGAGTGCGCGGCCGCGGAGGGGCGAGCGTTCGCCGAGCTCGTCTACGCCAACCCCGAGAGAGCGGCCGGAGCCGGCGCGGCCACCGCCGAGGCCGAGCTGGTCGCCAGCGGCAAACACAAAGAGCAGAGGCACGAGGTAGAGCCCAGTAAGTGCCGCGCGGGGAGTGCGGGACGCGCGGGGAAAAAAGGGGGAAAAAAGGGAAAAAAGGGGAAAATAAAGGGGGAAAAAGGGGGAAAATAAAGGGGGAAAATAAAGGGGGAAAATAAAGGGAATAAAGGAGGAATAAAGGGGAAAAAGGGGAAAAAATAAGGGGAAATAAAGGGGGAAATAAGGGGGAAAAAAAGAAAAAAAAGGGGAAAATAAAGGGAGAAAAAAGAGGAAATAAAGGGGGAAATAAAGGGGAAAATAAGGGGGAATAAAGGGGGAATGAAAGGGAAATAAAAGGGGAAAAAGAGGAAAAATAAGGGGAAATAAAGGGAAAAAGGGGGAAAATAAAGGGGAAAAGGGGGAAAAAAGGGGGAAAATAAAGGGGAAATAAAGAGGAAAAAAGGGGAAAATAAAGGGGAAAAAACGGAAAGAAAGGGGAAAAATAAAGGGAGAAATAAAGAGAAAAAAAGGGAAAATAAAGGGAAAAAAGTGGAAAAGGCGGAAAAATAAAAGGAGGAAAAGGGGGAAATAAAGGGA